CCGGGGGCCGCCCCGCGCCCACACGCCCGCCGCGCAGCGGGGCTCGCAAGTGTGCGGGCAGACGCCGCCCCGGCGCCCATGAGGAGGCGACCTCAACTTCACTTCAGGGGGGAAAAACAGCCTTCCGCTCCCTCGAGGCTGGAAGCTGGCACTGGCCCTGCCTCCGCCGGGAGCCGAGCGCAGGGTCGACGGGGCAACTGCAGCGCTGGGGCTGTGCGGGGCTCCCGCGGATGTCGGTGCCCCAGCACAGTCGTGGCACAGGGCCCGACTCCTGCCCCTGTGCCATCGTGGTCCCCCCGGGCAGCCGACAGCGACCTCCCGCAGGTACCCGACGTGCCCCCCGGGCTGGACATCAGCCACCAGCGGGTGCTTGGCCTCAGCTCCAGCCTCTCGGGGCCTGGAAGCATCGCGACATCTTCCTCGGGGGCAGGCGGTTGCAAGGGGGGCTGTTTTGGGGGATTCGTTTTTCATGTGCTATTTTAATATTTTATATGTTTTTATGGTATCTCTTGGATGTCTTACGAGCGGCCGGTAGCCCTTTTTTTTTTTCTTTTTTTTTGGGGGGGGGGGCGGCACAGAAAGCCGATAGATATATAAAATACAGATTTTGAGAGGGGAATAAAAAGGTTGACATAAAGCCCGTAAACCCTCATCTGGACACATGCATGCACATATATTTACTAGTACTCGTGTGCACACATGTACCCATATACAGGTCCTATACTTCTTTGTATACGTGCATGCATATACCTGCATACCCATGTGTGCACATATACAGTGTGTATATATTTGCATACATGGATCGATATACATGTATAAGTATGAACACACAAATACACATATATGCAATACCTGCATACACACACCTACCTGAAGAGACAAACATGCACACCTTTGGGAGAGGCTAGTGCATTGATTGATATGAATCTGTACAAGCCCCATTGAGTCAGCGCCACCATGGGAGGGTGGAAACAGTATTAGTCTATTCAGATCCTTCCAGCTACCCCAAGCAGCACAGGCTGTTAGCTCTTCAGGCTTTCTGAAGAGCTGTGAAGAGTTTCCCCCTCAGAACAAGCTACCTCCCTCACACACATCCTGAGGGCTGAGCAATGTAAAACAGGATCATTACCAAGAGAGGCAGTGTAGGCTTGTGTTGGATCCCTGAACTGGGATACTGTAGAGACATCTTCAGTTCTGCTCCTGGCTCTGCTCAGTTAAATATGTAACCCAGGCGGTACTCCAAGAGGTACCCCCTCTCCAATTGAAGGGATCAGAGCAGGTGCACAAGTGCTGTGGGAGGTGTAGGGACGCTCCCTCCCCTATAGAGCAGAGCCAGGCCACCAATGGGGACTTAACCATATACCTTTTAATGAGAAAATAGTAGTGGGAACATAACATGTATAAACCAGGGGGCACAGGAGACACTATAATGCTCCAAAGGGGTGGAATTCAATAAAGGTTAGGCATTTACATTCGTAGACATATTCATCCATTTGACAAAAGACAGGTTTAACAAAGTATAAAACACAAACACCACAACAAACAATACTGGTTGGCAAAATATAAGAATGCACAAAATACAAAACATCAAATAACAAAAAATATAGGGCATAGGTACCGGGCGGGGAGGGAAGAACACAATGACCCCCTTCCAATGCAACAAGAATTTCTCCCGATCACTTCACTCACCCCTACTTGACCCAGCTGGGACTTGAGTTCAGATCTCCCATGTGACAGGCAGAAAGTCTACCACGCAGCCACCAGTGCTGGCATTGTGCCAAGTGGCTGGGGGTTTTGACCTTCCGGGAGCCCCTGCCTCACATCAACCTTCCCAGCCTCTTGCTGGAGGAGCTGGAAGCAGAGCTGTGAACCTCTCAGCTTCTTGCTGGAGCTGGGGAGCCTCTCCTGCTGGCCACAGCCTCTCGTACGGGATCCTGGAGTCCAGGGGGAGTCTCTCCTGCTGGCCACATGCCGCGCTGCTGAGGGTCCCACTGCTGCCTGCAGGTCCTGCTCCTTCAGGCTCTTCTGGGGCAACTGCTCCTGCCCCGCTGGGCCAGCTCTTGCCAGCTCTTTGAAACTCCTTCCTTGTGGTCCTCGCTGGTCTCCGAGTCAGCTGCGCTGCCCCTTCTATCCCCCTCCAGGCAACCCAAGGGGCCAGTCGGGACATGGAGGGGGAGTCTCTGGGGCCTGATTGGTGAGGAAGGGGAATCTCAAATCCTCCAGTCATTTTTTAGCCTTTCAAAACCCCTGGGCCAAATCACTACCATCTAACCTGTCACAAATAAATTTGTGGCAAGTCACTTCCCTTCCCTGTGGTCCAGTTTCCCCACCTGTAAAACAAGGAGAGTGACCTCCTATGTCAAATGCTTTGAGATCTGCTGAGGGAATCCCCAGGTAACTGCTGAAGGATGCTGCCTACAGTAGTGTAGCTGCCTACCTGATTTTCTGCAGCTGGCACAGCTGTTCAAGCACTCATGGTGCTCTGGTCAGGTCCCAGAGGACTGGAAAAAAGGCCAGTGTGGTCCCTATTTTCAAGAAGGGGAGGAGGAAGGAACCAGGAAACTATAGGACAGTTAGTCTCAACTCTATCCTTGGGAAAACTCTGGAAAAAAATCATTAAGGATCACATTAGGGAAGCCCAGCAGGGGGAGTAATGCTGAAAGGAAATCACCACGGGTTCACTGCAGGTTCATCCTGCCTGACTAACATTGTGGTTGTTTTTGGTTTTTTTTATGACCAGGTCACAAAATACTTAGACGCAGGAGTTGAGGTACATGTCATGTACTTAGACTTTAAGAAGGCCTTTGATTCAATGTTGTATTCTGTTCTCATAAATAAACTGACAGGCTGCAATGTAGATGATTACACACTCAGGTGGGTGGCCAATTGGCTTAGGGGTTGCACCCAGAGAGTGGTGGTGGATGGATTGATATCAACCTGAAAAGCTGTGGGCACTGGAGTCCTGCACAGCTCGGTCCTTGGACCAGTGCTATTCAATGTGTTCATCAGTGACTTGGATGAGGGCATAGAGCGCACCCTAGCTAAGTTCGCAGATGATACCAAATTATGGGGCAAAGTTAACACACCAGTGTAGGGAACGGATCCAGGCAGATCTGGACAGGTTGGAAAAATGGGCAGAATGAAATAGGATGCAGTTCAACGAAGACAAGTGCAAAGTGCTGCACCTGGGCTAAAAGAACCACCAACACGCTTACAAGCTGGGGGATGACCTTCTCACCAGCACAGCAGAAGAAAGGGATCTTGGAGTTGACTCCAAGATGAACATGAGTTGTGAATGTGATGAAGTGATCAACAAAGCTAACCACACTTTATCATGCATTAGCAGATGCATGA